TCACATGTGACTTTTTTTTGTCTCTTAAAACCTATAAAAATCATGTTTACATAGGAATTTGTTAAATCACAACAGCTCTTTAGACCCTCCGGGTTGACCCTGACAGGGTCCGGGTTTGGCCGGGTTCAGAAATTGGTGTACCCTGACCCTGACCCTGACAGACCCTACCCTGAAACCCTGCGGGTTGACCCTGACCCGTGCTCTACCCTAGCCATCGACCACGACAGACTCCCAGATAGCAGATCTAACACGCCAGTTGGAGCAAATGCGGCTCCATCTAGCCGAGAGACAGTTGACTGCAAATACGGGTAAGCGATGTTTTGTTTGTGGGAAGATCGGAACTCACCAACTTCACCCGCGATACTGCCCGGATATGCGCGAGCTTATTGAGCGAGCGCTTGTGAAGATTGACCCCAACACGCAAAGGTAGGTCCAGATGGACGGTACTGACCTCCCAAAAACCCCACAAGGATGGCGAGGTGGAGTTTCATCCTTATATGCGTGCGCGCGCGGATGGAGTTCAAGCGGCCGCGACTATAAGAGTAGTTTTCACAAAAATTAAATTGCTCAAGGTTTTGGGTTGTGGTCGAGCTTTAAGAAATAGGTGTGGTTGCAGCTTTTGATTACAAGGCAGGTTTGTGTTGCTCAACTGTGGTTGAGCTTTTGGTATTTGTGTTTAAGCTTTGTGATGGATGCTTGTGTGGTGGAAATTCTCAGTCATGGATAAGCTCTGTTGTGGTTTTGTGAGTATTCCTTGCCAAATTCACATCAATATTCAGATATCGGTTCAAAATAATTTGCACCGAGGCTGCCTGGATAAGCAGCCTGGCACATTCGGAATCATCCACTTCCATCTGAAAACTGACCCCTTCAATATCTGAATGAGATCTGGTGCAATTTCTAGCTAAAATTTTCAGTAGTGGGATAGTTCTGCTGCTGGGATTCAAGAACATTATTGTCTTACCAGGACCATATGGCGGTCTGATGTGAGTGTGCTTATGTGAGGATGATCCGAATGCCGGCCTTTCCACTTTCGGGTCTTGATCCGACTAGGCGATAGTGACTAGGCGATAACCACCATTCACAAATCATCATGCTCAAAGCGAAACCACAGCATACTTAATCTAATTCTGCTACCACGCTAATCCTAGCACAGGGTCTGGCCAGCCACTCAACCTGACTCTGACACCACGACCAGGAAGCACAAACATGCAAATTGTCCACAGGCATCTTCATACATACCACAGGTGAGCAGTAAATATTTTTTTGTGATAAATGGCCTCATAAGCGACCCATTCCGCAGGCCTAGCTTTCGGAAACTCGCAGGTTCTGGATAGCGAATTCTTTGCTTTGTCCTCGCTTAGCTTCGATGAACAATTAGCGAACCCCGTAACACGCAGCGGGAAAGATACTAACCGCTTTAATCTAGTTGGACAGCGTCCAAACGCGCCAGCAGCGCCGAAGCCGCCTCAACGCGCACCCGCACAACAACCCGGCCAACAACAAGCGCCAACCGCTCCAAAGACTCAAGCTCCACCGCCCCCAATCGTCGACAATAAGATTCCCACTCCACCGAACCCGATAAACCGTAAAGACGGTTGGAAGAACGCTCGAGCTCCACGAGTCGGCGGTCAGGGCAAAGACGTTGTGATGAGGGACGCGAACAAACCTGCAAATGATAAGTTTCACATAACATCTGCGCTCCAAGAACGCGCTAACCCACCCGGTATTTTAGAGACCATTCTCAAGACGAATGTCTCCCTGCCCATTTTCGAGGTTATCGGGGCGAGTCCCGCTCTGCAAAAGCTCATGAACGAGCAAACACGTGCCAAGCGCGAGTACGCCAGTAAACCAGCTGAGTACTCTCTACACGACACCGAAGAGCTGATTCGGCTGTCGTCCCAGATCCAAGGTAGCGAGCCAAAGGAGATGGTTGTCCAGCCATCTTACGAGCTCGAGGACTTCCTTGTCCGCTACAGCAACGCGGTAGCCAAAGCTCCACCCACAAGTCGCTTCTTCGCGATGACGACGGGGTCGCTGACGGTGACGGTTGGAGGCGTTGAGCTCAAAGCAATGATTGATTCGGGGTCCGAACTAAACCTGGCAAGTCTGTCAGTTCCTACAGGCTGTTCGCTCGCTGTCGATTACCAGGGAACACGGTGGCCCTTGAACGGCATCCACGGCGACCCCGAGCAGTTGCGAGGATGTGCAACAGACGTACCTCTTCGAATTGGCCAACACGAATCCCCCCACCACCTCTTCATTTCCCACCAGGAACTCGGGCCGCATGACATGATTCTGGGACAACCATTCTTGCAATGGTTTTGTGCGCGCCTCGATTACGAACGAGGGGGCGCCGTCAGCCTCTACCTTTGGAAGGAAGGTGAGCGTCGTGGACAACCCACGATAGGCATCGCCATCACTAACCACGCCGACCCGCGGAACACGATCGCTATGACGCGTGGCACTGATCATTCCCACCATGCCGCCTACGTCGAGGAGCTCCCGGAAGGGGAGGATTTTTGGTGCTAGGGCACGCGTTTAGGACCTTCCCCGCGCCCCACGCAAATACATTGGGAAGATCTATCGAGGCATTGATGGGCCAAGCTGAGTTTTCCGAGTTTGAATCTTTATTTCATATTTCACCACCACCAGAATACGATACTATTTTAATGAACTACGCCACATCTACCGGAGTCAACCTTGACTCCGTTGTACCAACACCATGGACGACACGTCTCTTCTGTGATACCCACACTTACCGGACCAGCGCCGGCGCCAAGGCGCCGATCGTTGCCGAGAGAAGGTACAAACCCGTCGCACGCAAGATACGTCCTGTACCAACATACCAACCCGATCCGCGGAAGCATTTCTTCCGCGAGATTCCCTGCGCCAAACCAACAACCCTCCCGACAAACCCACCAGACTACAAGAACTTACCATCTGGACAACGCGTCACCCGCGAACGGCTCGAGACGATGCTTGCAAATATTCAGCCCGGGATACTCAGCGAGGAAGAGAGGAATCTCCTTGCTTTCATAGTAGTAACCCGTGAGTTTGCATTCGCCTGGAACTTTGCAGAGAAAGGCTACTTTTCTCGACAGTACTACCCGGACTATGAGTTTCCGGTTATCGAACACACTCCGTGGCAAGCAGCTCCAATCCGCTGATGAGTGCGGAGTGGGGACAGCAAATGAGCTCTCTAACTAACCAAATCAACAAAAACAACCAAAACTCCACTTTTTGTAGAGAGAAAGATGTATAATGTCGAGTAGGAAAAGTCACAAAACCCAAAAATCGTCAACTCCTTGTGCGAGTACAGGCCCCTGTGAACAGAGCCTTGGCACAGATGTGTAAGGTTGTAGGGTAGATACGAGTTTCTTGCGAAAAACGTTGATTTGTTGTGCCCCAAAGCGTACTATCGACAAAACTCAGCAATAGAGAAGTGCCAATACGATGCCCGGAGAGTTTATACTCGTTGGATCAGGACTAACTGCCTTAAACCCTCTGAGTTGTCTCAAGTCAGGAACTAACTGCCTTAAACTCTCGACCAGCAACCGAAACCCAATAAACAGCAACCGGAACTCTTGTATTCAGCAACCGAAACCCTCAACCAATAATCTTTCCGACGCGATGATACTATTTCGAAAGAGCTAGCAAGATAGATTGACAAGCTAGATCCCCAGATGCACCTAGTAGAGCGGGGCAATCCGTGAACCTGCCAAATACAAAACAGAGATATAAATACTAAACAGAAATTGATAGAATCAGGGAAAATCTCGAGTAAGAAAAGTCGTCCATGTGCATAATTGTATAGGTATCGTTTCGCCATACGGCCCAGAGTCGAAAATCCAGGTCCAGATGACTGGTATCGCGTGTATTGGAGTCAATGACCTGTGTAAATCTTCCGTGTTCGCAACCATCTAGTTTGCCTTGTGAAGAATCCCTCGATCTTGAGTAGGATAAGTGGATAGCTCTGCTTCCCAGCTTTCGATTGACACCCATAACTCGTATCTTGTGCATATGGCCTCAGCGGTGGTTGTCCCAACTCTCCTGGCGCATTTCCAATGTTCAGATGATCAGTTCCTCGACAGTGTTTTTAGAGTCGCCGTTGATCACAGGTCCAGGCCCCAATCAATTGAGTAGGTTTTCGCCGTTTAACCGTCCCTTGGCACTCTCGATCCTCCAGCATGATCCGAAACCACGTTCCAATGATGTCAGTCGTCGATACCAACAGAGATAGGGGTGTCCCTTTTCTAGGAGAAGTCGATCTTGAGTCTCCACTGAGCGCCAAACCGAATATGCCTTTTAGAATACACTCCCTTTGGGTATTTTGCATAGAATTGGATAGATTGTAGCGAGAAACGGGCTCTGCGAACTTTTCCTAGTCAAGATTTTGGAATCACTAAGAGCGATTTGATAGATTTTGACTGAAATCGACAAAAATAGTCGTTTCCTGGTATGTCACAGACTGCGGCTTATCACCGCATCCCACGCGCCCTCGAGCCAGCTGTCCGAAAGGTGATCGCGGATGGAGAGCAAGACGGACGGTTTGAGCCCAGCGTCTCGTCATATCGATGTGCTATGTTCCCAGTCGCAAAGAAACCAGGTTCGGACCCCCGGTCCGAGTCATCCTTAATCTTGAGCCTCTCAACGCCGTCACTATACTCGACGCAGCCATGGTTCCCAACATCAACGAATTTGCTGAGTCGTTTATTGGTCATGCAATTTACGGTATTGCCGATCTCTTTTCAGGCTTCGATGCAGTCTGGATACACGAAAATTCACGAGCAATGCAATCATTCCATTCGCCTCTCGGTCCGAAGCAACAAGTCACGATGGCTCACGGCTATGCCAATGCCCCCAACGAGTTCAACCGTCGATTTGACCACGCGCTAAAGCCGATAGCGCCACACAAGGCACACGCCTTCTTCGACGATGCAGGAATCAAAGGACCGATGTCCCGCTACAACAACATCAGGAAAATGACAAAGCCTTCTATGGGCCTCACCGAGCGTGAGCCCATTATCTGCTATAACACTCAAACCAGTCGAGAGGCTGCCGTGATTGTGCGCGTTCATGACAAAAATGCAGACAACCCACAACAGTCAGAAGAGGCCAGCCACATCGGATGCAACGGCACCTTTCCGTGTCAAAAGTGTAAGTGGGGTGGCTCGAAGATTAATCAAGTCCAGCCTGCAGTATATCATGCATGCCATGAACCAGGTCCCGTTCGGACAGCCGACGAGATCCGGGCGGAGTTGAGCCATCAGCCGTCCCTGGCAACGCGCGGGAGCTCTGCAGCAATAGAGACCCGACAGAAAGAGACGGGAACCAAAGACAAACTTACTCAATATTGGATTGCACGAACTCTCGACTGGGTAATGCAACTCAAGGCGGAAAGTCCGGGGAGTTCTGTTGATAAGATCGCCAAAGCAGCCCAGCATTGGCTGGAAGAGCAACTAGGCGACAAAATCAATCTGCTCTTGGATATCGTCGGCCTGGATCCAGGTCGAGACGCACCAGTCGAAATTCTGCATACCATCCTGCTCGGAGTCATCAAATATATCTGGCATCATTTGAACACGTACAAATGGACAGACAACGAGCGACATCTATTAGCCATTCGTCTTCAATCAACAGATATCAGTGGTATGAATGTACCGCCAATTCGTGGCGCTTACATGATGCAGTATCGAAATAACCTCATCGGCAAACATTACAAAACGATAATGCAGTCCCTGGTTTTCCATGTCCACGGTATATGCAATCCGGACCAGTTCAAACTTATCAAGTTTGCAGCAGATCTTGGAGCGCAAGTCTGGATATCGGTCATCGATGACATGGAGTAATATATTTCTGAGCTGAATATCGCAATTGCAAACCTTCTCGACGCGTGGGATGCTGTGGAGCCTCTTCGCATTCTGACGAAAATCAAGCTCCATCTTCTTCCCCATCTTCCTGACGACATTCGACGCTTTGGCCCCGCTGTTCGCTTCTCGACAGAAACACAGGAGTCTTACAATGCTGTTTTTCGCATGTGTTCAATAAACGGCAATAACCAGGCACCAAGCCGTGATATTGCAATGAAGTTTGCTGCCATGAACAATATCAAGCATGCTGTTTGCGGTGGATTCTGGCAGTCAAGCGCTGCCTACGATTCAGATCAACAACTGGCTATCGAAGCGGTTCGTGGATGGTCCGAACCCGGCAACACAGTGAAAAAACTTCTCTTCGATGATCCTGTTCTCCAGCGTCACCTTGGCTGGGTACCGCACTATCCTCCGGTGCCAGGTTTCGTTCGTCTCCTGGGCTTAAATGCATTCCCACCAATACCATGGCAGCAAACTATCACATCACGGCACTGGACCCAAGAGCATCCGAGTCAGCCAATTCCGAACAGTGCGTGGCAGCAGGGCCTTTCGGTAACTTCGAAAACGGGAGACAAGGTCAAAGTTGATGGGTTGGCATTTGTGTGCATTGCAGGGGGCACAACGGCACTGGGACGAGTTGTGGAAATTATTTCGGGAGGCAGTGGCCAAACATGGATATGTCTTCAGCAGTTCGTGTGCACACAAACACGTCATCCCGGAGCAAGGTCTTACCTCATATGTTGTCGTTCCAGGAACGGCAGTGGAATTTGGCTGCTCAGTCCAGCACGACTGCCGGAGAGGCAACTGCAAGCCGGCAGCTATGGCCAAGGAATGTCAAGAGCGAGAAGACACTCTGCGAGACATTAGCCTGATCAAACATGTCGACGATGACAATTTTGTGCTGAATTTGGGTTCAGTACACAATTTCGCAGAACTTACTCGGGTCCTTCCACGAAGCCTGTACAATCTGAAGCCGCAGCACTCCGACCGCCTCCAGTTTCACACCGAGATGGCTGCCAAGGCAGGGTCGGCCCGTTTGTCCACACGGGAAAAAACCGCAGAGAAACGGCGAGCGACAGCTGCTCGAAAGAAGCAGAAGGCGGATGAGGCTGCAAAAAAGGCACATGAGGCAGCTGTCAAAGCTCGACAAGCTGAGGAGGTGGTGCAGGGTGCTCAACTTGAAGACTTGGATGATGCACAACTCGTTGATGTCGAGTCGGATGGCAAGTCCGCGGGTGAAGATGATGCTGAGCCCAAGTCCGAGTCCGAGTCAGAAGAGGATGATGATGAGTATATACCCAAGCATGCTGGTCAGAAGCGGGGCAGGCCAGAAAAAATTACACCAAGGCAACAGAAGAAGCGCCAGAAAAGATAAATGATTATTTTCATTTTATTATTTAATTAGTTGTATATGCCCATTTTCATGATATTTACCACAAAGTCATAGTAAAGTTTTTTGAAAGTATCATACAGACTTAACCAAGGATCTCATAGTGATGAAGGGTTGACCTCAGGGTGATGGGAAGCCGGGAATATCCTATTGATCTTATCCATATATCGTTTTGAGGTTTTTTGGAGATCTTACTTAGACATTTCCACTCAGCATCAGCCTGATGTACGCTGGGGTTGGGGGTGTAGTATAGTATCATGATATTTAGCTGCAAAATATATGAATATATTTGACAGATTCACTGCAGGAAAAACTCAAAACATAGGATACACGCTTGACTGTCAGCGTAACTTCCTTTCAGGACTTTTCAACTTCAGCCAAACTACAGCCTTAGACTTATGGAACCCTCAAAGTATAATCAGGGGCATCACTGCTGGTAATGATTGGCTGGTAGACACTTCAAGAGGATCTATACTATATTCAGTAGAGTGAGCTCAAGTGATTACTATTGAACTACTAAGAGTAATGTAGTCTTTGATGAAATCACTGCTTATATATAATGGATAATATATGACCTCAGATGTAGGTCTAAATTGGACTAAGATTCATACTATTGGCAAGCATACTGACTGGGGAAATACTTAGCTTTCTACACGATATGTCAATATTTTGTAAATATAATATAAGATAACCATAATATAATATTATATATCCACAGATAATCATATTCACATGATCAGCCAAAAACATAATATATATTCAAGTTGGCACCCAACAGGCTGATTTTGACCTTAATTTTTTTCTTGTGTTTTATGCCAATGCAGCTCCAGAGTGACTCAATGGTGATGGGTCCCCCACTGGTCAAATGGATGGTGGGGAGGGCATATGATACATCCAGTCAACTATAATCCTCACTGACTCACCCTGACAATTTAGAAGAAACCTGGTAGATTTTCAAACATTTTGATGAGGGTAATAATTGACTAAATTCACCAAAAAGGGACACCTTTATTTGTTGGGGAAAATGAATGAAAAAAACCTAATAAACAGGATAGCAGTCTTGTCAGAAAAAGAAAGCAATCAATATCATCATACAAAAAGGCTCCGTGTGACCAAAAAAGTTCCATTTTTCAGTCACACTTGTGACCTGATATCACATTATGTAACAGAGTGTATGGACTTGGTAGGATATGAGGAAACTATAGGTGATAGATTATCATCAAGTTACTAGCCTTTAGTATTAGCCATGTCACAAATGTCACACTGACCTTGTACGATAGGACAAGAAATGACTTAGAGCCTGGGGCCTTAGAAATATTGCAGTTTTATTGCCCCCTTTATTGCAGCATAGGGAGTTTTGAGACATCTCTTCTAATTAGAATGGGCACCCAAGTGCGCTGTCTATTCTAATTACAAGGGATAATTGGGATTAACAGGTGTCTGTGCCAACCCAATGATAAAACTCCCATAGCTGAGGGTTACTAGTGATTTGTACTTGGTTCTCTAGAAGAGGTTTAGCCTTATCGCTTTTTTCTTGACTCTTTGTTTGCACCCCAGCATCTCCATGTAAGGGCAAGTGCTTAGGGATCTGTAGGGATAGCAAGTGCTTCTTCTTCTGGTAAGTCTAATTTCACCAGAGTGGACGGGCTGGGTCTTCTCTGTGATATATCCAAAAATTGTCTGCTGTGAGTATTGGAAAGCAGTCATAAATAATAATATAATAATCACATACACACACCCATGGTTTGATGCTTACTATGAGAGTTTAGAAAGAAATAGCAACTATTTCAATTAATTATAGCAGGGGAACCCCTACCTCACTGCACTTTACGTCGTCAGTTATGGACAACTAGTATATAGTTGGCGCCCTACCAGGCGGACCCTTAGAGTTGATATACAGTTACTGGAAAATAGCAAACACGCAAAATGGCACCCCCATACAGGCTGCGTAGACTAACAAGTTGTTGATAGACATCAGGCAGGTTTGGATGCATAGCACGCCTGCAGGCAGGCAAGGAGTGAATGTACTTGTGTGTGTTAAACAACTATGTATATGTACTAAAGCCTGCATATGCCACAGGAAGTGTGTATGCACTGAAGGACATGTATTGATCATATGTCAACATCCATGCTACACATTGCTTCCCCCTGGAGAATTAGAACACAACTAGAGGATTTTTTTAAAAAGAGAAAATCATCAAGGTAATGATGAGCCAAAAAGGGACACCTTTATTTATTGGGCAAAAGAGATTAAGAAAGACCTAATACGCAGAACAGCAATCTGATGAAGAAAAGGTAATTGACATTGTTAGACAAAAAAGCCTCTTGTACATAGATATACTCCATTTCTCCCACATAGGCACTCCTCTTCTACTTCGATCTGATAAGCATTTTTCTGTTTAAATTTCTTGCTTATCTAGTTCATTTTAGGACCTTTTTTGTTCTGATTAATAAAGGCTCATGATTTTACTGGGGAAAATATTTGACTATGTATAAAAAAAAACTAGCAAAAAAAATCAAGATGTTTTTCAACATGTTTTGTCAGTTTTATAGGCAAAACCATTTTTACGCATTGTACTAGGGTTTCTAGTGGTGTACTTATATGTAAAGCTGAATGACTAAATGTTGTGGTGTGTTCCCAGGTGGTATCTACAACACATATATGTAGCCAAGCTTGCCTACCTTACGCCCTCCCAGGCACGGGTCGGCTAGCGGTTCAGTCCCACCCATGTGTTATTTACTGATATTACCAAGGGTACCGCAGATCATCAGCTGGTGACATCAAGTCACACATGTCACATAGGGTAGGGTGGGTCACTGGGGTGAAATTTCACTTTTTGGACTTGTGTCTGGGGAAGGTTCAGGGACATCCAGGAGAACCAGAAATACACAGTTATATGTTTTTAGCACTTGCTGCCAAAGAATATGGAATGTTTGATGGGCCTATTTCCTAATTGGGAGAGTTTGGTAATAAGTAGAGTCCTAAACAATGACATGGAAGCATGTTATTTACATTTTCTTCTTTCCTTCCCATATGGTATGTCTTAAATGGCCCTGGCATAGAATCCAATGGGCCCAATGCTGTATCCTGTACAGACACTGATGACAAACAATTTCCTTTTTGGGAAGTCACATGGCTTGGCTGGCTGGTGCTTAATTCACTTTTTCAACCCGATGTCTAGGATTTTTTTTGTGCGGTACCCTTGGATATTACGCTATTGGTTTTATTTACCTCTTTGTGTGGGTTTTGCCGTGAGCCACAGTAGCCGCGATGTTCATTCACGCATGCCACATGTTGCAAAACTTTGCAGTCTCGAGACTCGCAGCCGCTACGCATGTGCATCCGATCCGATCCGATCCAACGCCGATGCCGACGCCGACGCCGATGCCCACACCCGCACGTCATGCGTCATTACGTGCGCAGATCGTCCGCTGAGTCAGCGAAAATCTTCTTGCGTTTCGCGTCCACCCGCTTGCCTTCCTTTCTGCAATCCATGCATCCTTCGACGCGCGCGGACATCCCTGGCTGCAAGAACGAGAGAACGAGAAAGAGATGGGAGAGGGTATGCTAGCGCATGGGCAGATGGAGGGCGAAAGTGTGGCGGCGTGTGCGGGCTTGACGGGTATCGGGCAGTCTAGGGTCGACTGGGGCGGTGCGGGGGGCGAGGGTGTTTGAGAGCAGGTGCCCTTCTGGTCGTGGCGAGCAACGCGCAGAGGGGGGGAGAGAGGGAGAGGGGCCACCCCCGACACCGACGACGACGCGTGGCGCCAAGCGACAAAAGACCCGCGCCGCCTCAGACGACGAAGCTGACGACGCGGTCAGAAGGCACGTCTGCCCACATGATGGTTGTGGGAAGCGCTTCAGCCGCCCGAGCAGCCTGCAGATACACCTGAATACGCATACCGGGGCGTTACGTGTGTTTTCCCTTCTCCCTTCTTTCCTTCCCTTCCCAGCCATTCTCCCAGCCTTTGATGTAACGTGCTGACGAGGACAACAGCGTTTGTGTGACCCGCGCTGCGGCCGCGCGTTCAACGTCAAGTCGAATATGCGCAGACACTGGCGGAACCACTCGGCCAACCCATTGTCATTGTCGTCGTCCCCGGCCGAGAAGACCCCGGGCAGGCACTTAAGAAGCACCGACGAAGAAAAGACCCGAGCGGAAGCGGAAAGGCGCTGCGTCGTCCTCCACACTGGCCGCGCCACCATTGCCATTGCCATCGACAACGCCCACTCCAGAAGCCAGTCCGCAACCTCTCGATGTTCGGCCTGGGGCTCGGGCTCGATATATCCGCCAGTCCAACCGGTCCGGGAACCGGCGTGGGCAGCGTCAAATACCGATCCGCAAAACCGCAGCCACGCCTTCTCTGCACCGCGACCGCGACAACGATCCGGACGACCAGCCGCACACGCGTACGGTGACCACGGCCCGGAAGCGTACCACTACGGCCTGACGCCGGGGACGTCGGACGTCGCGTTCATCCGCCCGCAACATGGTTCCGAATGACCAAACACCTCGGGTGCTTGACATCAGCAGCAGCATTGCCTGCTGGCAGTTTGTGGAGATCGACGCCGAGTATGAGCGCTGCGTACTGAAGGCCTTTCGTGCGACTGCGGAGAACTGGCTCGGCCCACTCACAACCCTGGACGTGCTGCGGCATGTCCGCAGCATGCTGGCGGAGGCATCTGACACTCGGCGCGAATTTGCGGCACACCTTGCGATACAGATCGCGCCGACAGTGGCTGGCGGCTCTTATTATAGTGCTATGGAGACATTCATGTGGGCGCTGCAGAAGCTTAGCAGGTGGGTTGTTATTCTCGAGGCGGATTCTGTATACTCATCTGCCTACAGTGATGCCAGCGTGGATCCCCGCACGCAAGCCGTGGCTGTTCGTGGTTTTGAGGTTTTCAAAGCTCTACCTCACTCGACAGATCTCTACGAGTTGTTGTTAGAGCAGTAGGGCTTCAACCTTCTACTTTTCGTTTAGCCAAATCGTAAAATAAAAGGAAACGGTTCGATAACATGTTTATGAACATTTATAAACGGTTACAACTGACTGAGCCTGTCTATTTAGATGCTGGGGTGATAGCTGGCCTTTGAGCACATCTTGGTAAGCATAGATTGTACTTATTAACACTTGAGTATCTGTCAGTGACACTGTGGTAGTGATGTCCACAATTATATTATGCCAGAATATATTTTGAATATATTCAAATAAATATGATTATAATATCCCTCCTGCATATTCACCTGTAGTTCCCACCTATCCTTTTTAATATGGCTTCCTGCCGTTGCGCAGTCATCTGAGGCTTCCACAAATGGCAGACCACACAACTTCAGCCAAGAGGGGCCACGGTGGGTTTTGCAGACAGGCTTGACCCCAAAAGGCTTGAAAAACAAACTTGAATCAACACCTACCATCTCAGTGCCATCAGTACCTTGCCTGCCAACCTCTTCGAAGGAAACCATACTGGAAGTTACCACCAAACAAAAGGCTTCCAAGTAAATTCTCATTGGCTTCAGGACTGCCATGCCAAGGGGGGTTCAACATTTGAAACATGGATATAGGGTCGGATGGGGACCCCCCTCCTGCCATATAAGGCAATATGTTCTCACGATTCGCGTCAGGTGACTATTGATGCGATCAAAAATTGGGATAAAAAAATTCAATGTTTGTGAAACTTTTTTTTCGAAAAAATTTATGTATGTGTATATGTATATGTGTAGGTATGTACATACCTGGAGCCTTCAAATACACATGCTAGGCTCTTCAACATGTTCACCTCTTATCAATTACCTGATGATGGGCCTATAGGGTGGGCTATCCAAGCTCAAGTCTTTGGCAAGACACCAAAGATGCCAAAGATGTGCAAGACCGCAGTCTTGGGCTAGGCAGGTCCCTTCATCTTGGGAGTCTTTCCCAAGACAAAAGGGTCTTACCAAGACATCCAAAATAGCAATCATAAGTGAACACTAACCCCACCAGCTAGGAGTGCACACTGCAAGGTCGTATTTGATGACAAGCAGTCAATGGAACACACTAATGGGAATGTCTTGCGGAAATGAAGAACACCTAACTTGAAGTCAGTGCAACGGCATAGACTCACCATTGGCAGACGGGGAACATGACAGGGAGAGAAGAGGACTAAGAAGAGGACTACAAAGCAAGGGGGAAGTGTGATGGCATCAATGCATATGACGCCAGTCTGTCAGTCCCCCCAGTGATCCTTAATTTTTTTTTCATAGTGAATTTGTTTTCAAATATTAGATATCAATCAATAAGTATAAGGAGATATTTTTATAGGTTTCCATAGGTTCTTAGTGTAATGTGAGGCTATACATACAATTCTCTGCATCTCATCAATGAACTTCCATATTTGGTGAGTATTGTCACATTTGTGACCTGGTGCATCTCAGATTCACATACCTGGGTTCTCAACTGTGGACACTATAGCTATTCTGTCATTATAGCGGCCATAATAAGTGGCTAAACATAGTACAACAGTTTGTGAGCATACTTTCCAGATAAGTCAATCACATGATCCTGTGAAATACCTGCCTAATAGGCAATTGTCACACATGTCACGGTTGGTTGGTCCGGCTGTGAGCCCTTAAATTTTTTTAGTGCATATGTTCCTTAATATTTTTTCCCTCCCCTTGCTACAAAGAATGGCGACCAAATACCCATAAGGGAGTTAAAGGTAGGCTGGGCAAACTGCTGGGCAAATGACTAGGAAATTAAAAAGAAATGTTTCCAAGTTTTGCACACTGAATTTCAGTGTGCAAGGTTTATTCAAGCATTGGGCAAGAATTATATTAGCTAAGCAACTCCAACGTGATCTGTGGTGACAAGTGTGACATGAAAATTTCGCTGTCCATCTCCATCCATGCCATGTCTGCACCCGCGCCCATCTGCACCCAAGAGACTGCACGACTCAGCTCCGGGCTGGAGCCTCTGGCCACGCATGCACAAATAGGGAATGACACAGGTATACCCACGGGTATCTGAGGGCATACCCATACCCGTACCCGCACAGCCACCCACCCGAGGGTACACCTCTACCCGCGGGTGGCCATACATACACTGAAGGAAGAGTGTCAGCAACAAGGCGGATAATGTGGGATAAAAAGCCAACAGAGGGCCAGAGCCAAACAAAAAGTAATTATAGAAAAGAAAATAAGTCTGGCTGGGGGACGAGACTTCGCATATGGGCATGGTCAAACGGGCGTGCATGCCCGTGATGGCGTGGGACCCTCGGTGGAGTCTATCGCCTGTCCTATGGCATGCGCAGCCACCACAACCAAGGGGGTGTCATTTTTCGAAAAACGGATATACCGTCAAAAAGTTTTTTAAGGGCCTCCTCGAACCCCCCCTCCCCCTTACCATATCGGGGAATATATTCCCATGATTGCGATCATGTGACCTAATGATGTGATCAAAAGTGGCGATAAAATTCATATTTTTATATTCATCAACATACTGTTAATTATGGTTAATATATAAGACTTTGAGCCCTTACAGAGTCACTAGTAGGCCATCCAAAGCTATGTGTAATCAATCAGTATAGTTTTGCGCTGACTCCTCGTCAGGATAGACAGCAAGTAAGGCCTTTGTCGCAGCGGTCCAAGTCTTTCCGGACGCCTCAATGTCAAGCTCGGGTATGTAGCGAATAATATCTTTGACGCGGTCGCTGGAGTACTTATAGATGTGATTGACTAGCTGGTCTTTGTCGACGATACCGGCTTGGATGCCGCACTCTGCGATTTGATTGAGGAAATCTTTGGCATACTGGCCATTGAACTTCGGCGCATTTTGGGAACGCAGAATCGGCATAGGGGTATGGAGAGTAGCGGTGGCTACTGGTGTTGCCATTTTTGCTAGCGGCGGGGTGAGTGAACAGGTTAGGGGTTAGAATGGTTAACGCAGCGTTTGTAGCTCTCGATATCAGAATACCAGCCCCCTCGTGGTGGGCTCTACTGAAGAAGGAAGAAGGACAACTAAGTCCAAGCGAGGACTAGATGTGGGCCGAGGTCGTACCGAGGGCGGCGCTGCGGGAGGAGTAGATGCGTGGGGTAGATTAGATAAGATTTACATAGCTTTTGCAGAAATCGAAGAACTCGGGCTCGATATAGCGCTTTCGCTCGCGCTCACTCTGGCTTTGAGATGGGGGTAAGAAGTGAAAGATGAGATCCTTCTCCTATCCAAATACAGTGAAACCGTAACTACCAATCGGAAGGGGTAGAGAAATGAAATATGAATATATAGAGTGGCCATGGTACTAAGATCCTTGCATGGACACTTCCGAACATAGCAATCGGGCTGGGGACAAGTCGAATAGAGCGGTGGCGCTACTGCCCTCAGCGTTAACAACAGGGTGACCAGTCCTGTGTTGTGCTCGCTCCAGTCCGTCCGAATCGCTACACCAGTCGTGTCTTCTGCTTTGGATATGTTGAGATAAGGGAGTGGGGAAGAGTGGAATGGAAAGTGGGAAATATAGAATTAGAGAAGATGATGGGGAAAATGGTGGCTGTTAACGCCCGTGTAGCACGTCTGGTGAAATGAGCGTGACCGCGAAAGCGACGTGGCGGCCAGATGGCACTTCCACAGCGTGTAGTGTTTGTATTAGATAGCTTATAAAGACAGAATTAAGCTGGAATGCTATGGAGAATGACGAAAAACCAGACAGTGATAGCATTAGTGTTTGTATTAGATAGCTTATGAGGACAGACTGCAGACTACATTCATAAGTTACTCACCCTGAATCATGAGCTTGTAAGGATATCCAAGTGTTCATTGCTGACACTGGGTGCAAACCCAAAGGCAGTTTGCTAATGAAAGCCCCAACGGGAGTGGAAAGAAAGACAAAGATTTCTTTGTTTCAAACAAAGGAAAAAAAATTGCTTTCAAACTCCCGTTGGACCCCCCTTAGCCAACTGCCATTGCGCTTGCTACCAGTGTGAACGTTGATAGGAGAGCTCTGATATCTTATACTTATCTAACCACTGATATTATTCTGATGATCCCAGTCCGATCAGCTGATGATCAACTGATTTGATTAATATATTCCCTGATGACATCCTCAAGGTCTTAGACTGATGTTTGGAGAGAACATCAGAGAATGTTTTTCACTGATATACTATTGATATCTTCTGGGATTGGTGGTGTACAAATATATGATTGTGTTTATGACATAATAATATTATTATGTTCACAAAATAATATCATCATATTGTTATGTCCTTAAAACAATATAATCATATTTGGCCAATCCTACTCTGAGTATTTACTTCTACTAGTCAACATACAATATTGGAAAGCCAAGTGATTGGGGTTGCCCTATCTGAAGCAGGCTCGATGAGAGACCCCCTGAGCCCTAGTAGTGCAATCCAATTCCTTTGGGACAGGAGCTGGAGCCACTGGGCAGAGGAGGGAATGGAGTTGCTGAACGGGCAATGGGGAAGATTAGGGGTCAAATCCATGGCGGTACTTGGTTACCTTAACCAATATGTTTTCAAAACCAGCAAGGTTTATCAGTTGTCATTAAGTATAAACATGTCACCAGCCAGAGTAAAACATGTCATCAGAAAAGTTGTGTTTGAGGTTGACTTGTACATGTACACAGGGTGAAAAGTTGTATACAATTTGCAATGTTGTATCTAAAAACTCTGAAAAAGGCAAGTTGTACCTCTAAAAAGTTGTAGCCATTTCAAAACATATATCAAATACTTTTTTTACAGTATGTCCCCCATACAGCAACTTTCAATCTCTCTCATACTGCAACTGTCAGGGGAACCCCTGCTTCGGCCTCCTTCGGACCCTCCGAACGCATCCAAGGCGCATCCGACCGGCGCCCCCTCGGACGCTCCGACCCACCCCGACCATCGTCCACGGCCTCCTTCGCCCGCACAATCACCGATCCGTCAAGACCCTCCCAACGATCACCTTGGGACAGAGCTTGC